CTACCCTGTCCTATAAAATCGGCATCCACTTGATAACACTCAATTTGGTAACAGTTCACAGCCATATTGTTGTACGCCGAAAAACACCTGCAGTTTGACCCTACCAATGTGATTTACATGTGAAGACTATGAATATTTTAGTAGAGAGGAAGAGTGGACCAGCTGTGTGGAAGGGGTGGAAGAAAAGAGACCAGAACTTTAACGTAATCCCCCTCCCAGGCTCCTAATCCAGGAGGGCTGCCCCTTTCTCATTAATTAAATCAGCAGACATTTCTTTTACCTACAAAGTGAGCTAAACATTCGGGATATACAACAAACAAAAAGATCTTTGACCCCAGAGAGAATATGCAATAGATTAAGTGGGTGATGGGAGGTAATTGCCTCCCGAGCACTGAAGCAATGTAGGATCTTTACAAACCCTGCGTAACTTCACCACTGCACCCGCAGCTGATTGCCGCAATTCCCCTTTCTTCATGGAGGTGCCGGTGAGAAGGTTATTACAATGAGGTGTAAGTCATTTTTGAGGAAAAAAAAACTTTAAAAGTGTCATGAAAGAGCTGAGTAATAGGAAAGATTAAATTATTATAGCAGGCGCGGTTCTAGTACTTATGTCACTGCTACATGGCCAAGGATAATACAATTTGACCAGCTTTTACAGAGTTAAAAAACCATGCATTTGTAAGATTGTGGAGTCTCTGTCACTTGGAAGCATTACGTAAGTGTAAGTTGAAGTGTATGTACCATATCTGGAGTTTCCACACCTCACTTTACAACTTCTCTTAGTCTGCATGGCAGTGTTTATTTGAAATATCTCTCTAAAGAGACTTAAAAGTTTAAACTACCTATGATAATTATTTACCAACAAAAAATGTCTTCATACTAAAAAATTCTGAAAAGGTTAATTAAATAGAATGAGTATCTATCCTATGAATAAGTTGTGTAAGGCTTATTATCAGTGATTTTGATAGACTCTTTTTTTATTTTACTCGTGTATTAAAAATGTATTAATTATCTTAGAGGGTTAGGATGCCAATTCATTCTACAACCCCAAAGGATAAAGAATGTACATAATGTGTTGTTTCTTTCATAGACTTTTATATAGTCATTCTTATGCCCAAGATTGAGATTCTCAAACTGTAGGAAAAAGAAGGGATCCTGTTTTGGTTGTCTTTTCATGTCCCATGGCTATGAACTAATGCTGATTTTAACATTAGCACTTTTATTGTATTTGTACTAGTATTTCCCCCAAATTCATGGGACGTTACACCAGTTTTCAACTGGTGGTGCATTAGAACACCGATAATCTGTCCCTGAGAATCTCTCTCTCCTCGGAACAGCACCTTGTTTTTGTTTCTGTTTTTGGTGTCCGTTTATAATGAAGCCACTCTAGTTTATCTTCTTCATAGAGTGCAGAAACACGAGAACCATTCAAATTCGTATGCATGCCATTTATTTGAAGAATTTATACTAATGTAATTGTTATGTGATAGAGATTGTCATTTTTATTCTTACCCTGACTTACAAAATTCAATAATATGGAGAACTTCTATACAGTTGCTTATTATTTTATTTGTTTCATATATTAGTGTTTTTATCACTAATAACTTTTGTCCATACATTATCGGTATGCATTTCCATTTAGTGTTTCTGTTTGGAATAAAGAGGTAAAAGCATGAAAATTAATAACCCAGGCATCAAACATGTTAGCGATACTTAATAGAAGTAAACAGTACAGGTGAGGAAACTCAGTACTTACTACTGCTTTCAAAGCTTTGTTACAGCATTTATTGTCGCTTCAATAATTGGGGAGATTAAGCAAATATACTACATAGGATAACAACCAATTTTTTTAATGAAGCATATTACTTCTCTCCATTGTCTAGCAAAAGTCCTAAAATTTACATAAATAAACTCACACAATGCTTTCAGATTAGGGAAATGCTTTGGCTATACTTGGATTTGAATCATCATAATGATCAAGATTCATAACAGTTACTTAATTTTTTTTTATTTGAAGCTATGCTATCTTGAGAAAGTTATAACTCATCTGGTTATATTTGTGCTGTTTGTGAGTCTGTACTATGTTAATATGATAAAAGTAAAACTGTATATGTACTTAGATTTCAAAATGTAGCATGTTGTACATTGTAGAAAAATACTTGGTAACTTGTGGCACTTTAGTAAAGAAATGTGCAATTATAAAGGTTTATATCATTTTAATTTTATTTTAATTTCCAGGAATTACTCTTATAAGGCTTTAGATTAAAAACCAAACACAATTTTTTAAGGTGAGCACTTTTTCCTATTGATATTTATTTTTTTGTCTCCTACTTCTGTGGCATATTTGTATTAGACCATCTTTGCCACGAGTTTTAGCTTTTCTCCTCAACCCTAACCTCAAAAACTAATTTAAGGAATTCTTTAAGTTAATCCAGTGGTAGTCAGAAATGCATTTTAGGTATCATGACCAGTGTGACATTAGTAAATTTCTGCTAACATACCTCAATCACTGAAAACATAATAGTCAAACATTTCATTTTTAGTTATAATCGAGTAGTTGATGCCCATGGAGTCATGATTCATCCTAAAATCTGGAGCTGCCAAGACAAAAGAGAATGGCAAGCTCTACACGATACAGAACTCCATGTGGTTATGATGATTGTGGATTAACTTACCAATATTATTCTATGATACACCCATGGGTAGTAGAATCAAAGTGAAAACTACTGCAAATGCTTTAACATAAGATGTGGACATCAGTATAGACTATGCATACGCTGTTGCAATAAAAGATATTCATTGTGCCTGTATCTAAAGATTTACTTTAGGTTTTCTCTGGCCTATCTGATTAAAAGCTACACGATCATTTAAATGTGAAGACAACAGAATACATGAGTGAATTAAATGGTAACTTGTTCCCAAGGGACTAAATATTCTGTTGAACTTTTTGAAAGGCACTGGGTACTGTAAGTAATGGTACAATGTAGATTCTTCACAAGCAACAAGTAAGTCTTATGTACAAATAATGGCATTTAGAAATTATATACATCTTTCCCTTTACCCACAAAATGCATTTAGAATCACCCTAAACTGCTAATTATTAAAAATCGATATGAAGTGTTTTAATGATGTGAAATAAGACCTACAAAAGAAAGCTACTAAGAACAGAGCCCCATAAATTGTAAAACTTCTGATGATGTTGAGTTTGTTACAAAGCCTTAAAGTATTTTAGTGAAAAATGAATTATCTAGCAAAGAAGGCACTTTATTACCCTGAACTTTGTGCGTATAGAATTTGTCTCAAATCCCCTAAAAAATCTATTGTTTTAATCATTTTTTCCTGCTTATCTTTTTTTCTGAAGCCTCTGACAGGGTCATTTAATAGTTCAAGCTAAGGTAATAATTCACACAACTTTAACAACAGAAAAGTGTGTGCGTAACGTAACCAGTGGTCAATACAGAAATAAACCTAGGGTAACAGAAGCATATGTGGTGATCATAAACTATGAGTCTAAATATTATAAAACCATTTCAGGCTTTAAAACGTTATCAAATTTGAAGGCTTTTTCAATGTTAACATTTTTAGACCTATTTTTAAATCTAATTTTTAATTGGCTGGCACTGCATAGTCTTGAAATGTTGACCAAACATAAGAGCCATCAAAATTATTAAGCTACTTACTCATATTTACTCAATTTTTATTTAAGTCCGGGCTCTTGTTTTTGCTTTTTAGTGTGGCTCTATTGCATTAAGTAGTCCGTTTTCTTCCGTGTTCAAATCAGCCATGCCAAATGGATTGTCAGATTTAAGTCAGCACTGTGGATGTGCTGATATGTACAGCTGTTTTGTATGAAGAAAATTAGTAATTGATATATACGGTGAATATGATTTAACAGAAAAAGCATAGAATCACTTTTTGCGTGTGTACAAATTTTAGGTTCAGCACTTTCAAGTTACCATTTATCTCTCTTTTTAACATGTAAAAAGGATATGCTAACTTTATCTAACAATGTTTTTCAGCAGAAAAACATTTTATAGTGGAAAAAACTTTATTTTCTTTTTTGTTTGGGAGCAGTTGGGTTTTTTGGTTGTTGTTTTTTTAATTCTATTATGTAACTTACTACCTTTAACCTTTTTCTTTCACAAGTCCTATATGCTTTACTGAGTGTAAATGTAACTTCATAGACAATAATCATTATAGGGAATAGAAAAGATTTGAGTTTATCAGAAGTCTACCCATATCAAAGGGAGACTCCAGACATGTCAAGTCTTTGGTTTGTTTTATTTTCAAAATAAGATATATTAGCCCAAAGGTGTGTTAATGTCAAGGCATGAACAATCTTAAATGTAGATCTATTGAGTATTTTGTGATGCTGAGTAAACATATTTCTCAAATCTCTGTGATGCTAAATATTTTCCTTAGAAAGTTTTGTTCAGTGTTAGATTGTCGTTCTGAAAGATGTTGGTCCTAGTGGGATTTTTAAAAACTGGGGAAATAAGCGCATGTATTACAAGTATAGAAATGGTGATCTAATTGTAAGCTAACCATATAGTACCGACTCTATTTTCAAAAAGGTTTTGCTGTTAAATATATATAACATTAAATTGCTGCTGTACTGTAATTGAGTACTTTTTCCTAAAGGACCCTGTTATCACTATTCCAGAACTAGAAGTTGGGCAGATATATGATTAATTCATGTGTCTGCATAGATGCTTCAAGGTATATTCTTCTCTTGGTGAGTAAAAATATATTTTCCTTGGCATCAATGCATTGAGATATGAATATACCTGTATCTATCTATTCTTATTGTACATTTCTTATACAGTATCTTCTAATGTGCCCAAATTGGATTAGGCTCACCTTGAAATTAAGGGTTCGTTACATGCTTTCTAACAGAAAGGTTTTCACTGATGTTCGACATGGGTTTATACTGTGAAACATAGTAAAACTCCCTTTTAAATTTCCTCCTTGCTAAATTTAAATTCATATTTTTTCTTTAGCTCACAATTTACCCTAAATCCAGAGAGAATATCAACCCTTTTCACTGTTGTCAAACCAAGCGTAAGGAACAGCCCCATGACACTACAAACACAGTTGAGGAATAAGGACTAAGTCTCTTATGTTACACTCCAGCATAAAGGCATTCGGTGAAAGAAATGAACTGAAGTTCATCATGAATGCAAGGCTTCTGTACTTGACATTCCTCCATGGAAGGGAAGACAAGTATCAACGCCATTGGCATCCTTTCAAACTGACCTTACGTGGAATACCTTCCACCACACTGGAGTACTGCTTGACTTGATCAGGTTTTTTGTTCTCTATGAGTTAACCAAAACTTTCCATTTTCAAACTGCCATTTGTCAGCATTGAGGCAGAGAAACAAAAACACTCGAAAATACTTTCTTAAGAGATCATGTAACTCTATACCTCTGAATTTAAAAATTGAAGGGAGGTGGTTAATTTCAACCCTCTTACAAGACACATTTTTTAAATCTGTAACTGCTTTAGTGTTAACAGGGTACGAGGTGTTCTTTCGTCCTGTATTGTATTTAAAAGCTTCTCATTGATTGGTGATTGTATTGTACTGTATCAAAAATAAATCATAAATTGCCTTGTATTGTTTATAATAGACCATATCATGTATTATTTCAGTTTTCATGTTCCAAGTTTTTCAATGATGCATGTTAACAGTTAGGTCCTAAAATTCTGTGGTGCTAATTCTTCCATACCCAATGGTGCTTTTGTGGATGCTAACTGCATACATGCTGAACAAAGCTTGAAGTTTAAACCTTTCCTCCCATTCTCTGTTTATATGAAGTAAAATAAAATAACTTGAATTTGTCTCAAAGTATCACGGACAATCTAATAAACTGGTTTATATGTGTGATTAGTGTGGATTCTTGATTATTCTTTTCAGGAAGATGCTCAGTTCCCATGGATCCTCGATCTTACCATGTACTCATTTAAGTTATTCCACTTATACCCCCCATTTTTTTAAATCATTTTATTGGGGGCTCATACGACTCTTATCACAATCCATACATACATCAATTGTATAAAGCACATTTGTACATTTGTTACCCTCATCATTCTCAAAACATTTGCCCTCCATGTAAGCCCCCTGCATCAGCTCCTCATTTTCCCCTCCCTCCCTGCTCTCACCTCCCTCATGAACTCTTGATAATTTATAAATTATTATTTTGTCATATCTTACACTGTTCGACGTCTCCCTTCACCCACTTTTCTGTTGTCCATCCCCCAGGGAGGAGGTTATATGTAGATCCTTGTAATCAGTTCCCCCTTCCCACCACCATCCTGGTATTGCCACTCTCACCACTGGTCCTGAAGGGATCATCCATCCTGGATTCCCTGTGTTTCCAGTTGTGCCCCCAAATTTGTGGTCTGTCAAAAATGTAAATCCAGTTGGCCTGGTGTCTAAAATCAGGTTTGCTTAGGTAGGGTCTATAGACCAATCAGATCTGTCAACAAGTAAGTTGAAAAGCCCCAAGATTTGCCAGTTAGAGTACTTTTGTGCTATCTTAATACTTTACTAACAAACTTTTTTTTCTTATTTATAAGTTTTTTTTTTAATCATTTTATTAGGGGCTCATGCAGCTCTTATCACAATCCATACATACATCAATTGTGTAAAGCACATTTGTACATTCATTGCCCTCATCATTCTCAAAACATTTGCTCTCCACCTAAGCCCCTGGCGTCAGCTCCTCATTTTTTCCCCTCCCTCTCCGCTCCCCCCTCCCTCATGAACCCTTGATAATTATAAATTATTATTTTGACATATCTTACACTGTCCGACATCTCCCTTCACCCACTTTTCTGTTGTCCGTCCCCCAGAGACTAACAAACTTTTAAATCAAATGGTTGAGCCATAAGGCAAATTTCATGGAAATAAAACTTCAGTACTTTTTAAAGATTGTTTTAACAATTTTACAGACATATAATTCAAGCATTTTAAAAAGAGCTGTGCAATCATCACCACCATGAATTTGACAGCATTTTCTTCATTCTTGTACTCATGATTAGCTCCCATTTCTCGTCAGCCTGTCATAACCCTAAGAAACTATTACTCTAGCTCCTGTCTCTATAGATTTACCTATACTGGATTTTAAATAAAGTATAACATTTTTTTAAAAGTAAAACATTTTTTTAACATGAACTCAGCAATAATAATGAAATCAGAAAAACCTAAGCAGTTGAACTACAGCAAATTTCAAATGAGTCAAAAGGGAGAACACATTTATAAGGTGCTAAATACTAACCCAACCATCTGCGTTATTCACTTTCCAGTACACTCTGTCTGATAGCAAGGCTCTCCTTATCTCTGCTCAGCGGTCAGAGGAGCCTCCAGAACCTTCAACACTTTCATTACAACTTTCTCGAAAAGGCCACTCTTTTTTTTTTTTTTTAGAAAAACAAATCAGAAACCCAAACGGCACAATTAAAAAAAAACACCTCATGTAACAGCCTTATTGGATTTTCAGCTTAAACATCCACACTAAGAATCCCATTGGGAGAGTGTAGCTGCTAGTATCTTCATGGGGGCAGAGGCTTGTTTCCTTCGAAACAGAGAAATTCAGGACTGAGTCAGGATACATACTGGTATTCCAACCTTGACATTTTGTCCTACCTTTGAGTGACTTTAAATTTTAAAAAATTCCAAATTTTTATTAAAGCTCCTGGAGTAGCAATCAGTGATCTGAAATAGATTGTCCTACCAATCCATCCAATTTCTGATGGAGTTTGTTTCTGAAGAGCCAATCTATTTCATTTCAGATTTGTCTTCATGCATTCTTTTTAAAATGGTAAAATAGGGGCAATCTTAATTTACACCCCAACTAATGTTATTTTTCTTCCCTCCCATTTTATCCTTGGAGAATGACCAGTCTCCTAGAAAATAACTAAAAAGTAATACAAGTCACACAAAAACAAATGTCGTAGTCCGTAACGCTTGATATGCCATCAAATGCGGCGAGTGCAACACTGCTCATTACCCCAAAGGAGCCTGTTTCATTCCTTGAATAGGAGACAAAACTTATTCTTGCAAAGGTAACGTTTTTTTATCATCAAAGGATTGATGAAAAGACTCCAAAGGTTGGCCCTCGGTTGTGTGTATTTAGAAACTGCTTTGTTCATTCACTGTGAGTGAATTCACAAGAGATTCACTTTGTGCAAAGTCAGAAAGAAAAAACTTTGAGCATCATATGCCCCATGGAGAAACCAATTAAGTTACAACCAAAAACACTGATACTCCCAGGAACTAGGATTAGGAGACTGCATTAAAAATGGATTTTGATGTTTGGCTGTTAACAATCTATCAAAATTATAACTTTATGATAAAGGTGAATTCTTTTTGTGGCTTTAATGATGATTTTCTAAAGCACAAAAATAAAAGTTAGGCAGATGAAGCCAAAACCAAGCCCCGTATCATCAGGTCAGTTCTGACACAGCAGCTCGCTGGTTCCCACGGCTGTAAATCTTTGCCTTTCCCCCGAGGAGCAGCTGGTGGGTTCAAACTGCTGACCTTGTGGTTAACCACCCAATACATAACCAGGGCTCCTCTGTTAGGCAGATTAGAACACCTAAATCAAGGGGTTGGCTCATTCTCTTCCCAGAAAGAAACCCTACTTTCGGAACATAATGTCAACATGTTACTTGGTAAATATAAAACCAGAAAACGGGGATGAGTAATATCAACAAACAGCATTCTGGTTGATGGAGATTCCGTGACGCAGACAAACACACCAAAGAAACGGGGTGATCACATCAGCTCCTCAGAATGCATCAACTCAAGAAATGCAGACTGCTGAAAAATCCTTATGTTTTGATCATTTTTCTTAAATTTCATTGATTCTCCTCTGTCTTTCAGTGCAAAAACATTGTTTACATAATATAATTAAATCAGATATTATACTTAGTGCCATTTTAAGCTCTTTATAATCATCAATCAGTAAGCATTATCATTAATTATGTACTATTATATACCATATAATCATTATATATATATCATTAATGAAAATCATCTTTGTTAGTCATTTGTTTTTACTAATCACTATCATTAAGAAGATTATTCACCATTAATGAAAATTTTACATCTAATAACTTTGGCGATGAGCCTTCTTGAGATTTTCCTAGCACACCAATTCAGCAATAGCAACTAATGAAAGGTAAAGAGCCCTCTCCCCTGCCCTCATGGCAGACCTTGCCAATAGACCATGGTATTTGTTGTTGTTGTTAGATGGCATCAAGTTGGCTCTGACCCATAACAGCCATACGTGCAACAGAACAAGACAACTCCTGTGACAGCCTCACAACTGTTCCTATGCCAGAGCCCATTGTTGCAGCCACTGTGTCAATCCGTCTCCTTTAGGCCCTTCCTCTGTTGCTGCCCCTCCACTTTACCACACATGATGCCCTTCTGCAGGGACTGGTCTCTCCTGACAACATGTCCAAAGTGTGGAGAGGAAGCATTACCACCCATGCCTCTAAGGAGCACTCTGGCCTTACTTCTTCCAATAGATCAGTTGGTCCTTTTGGCAGCCCATGATACTTTAAATATTCTTCTCCAACCCCATGATTCAAATGCATCTATTCTTCTGCAATCTTTCTTATTCCATGTCCAACACTCCTGGACGCCACTACCAAGTGACTAAGCTTAGCATACAAGAGTGACATCTTTTCTGTTCTGCCTTAGACACTCACCAGCATATACAGAAGCTATGTGTGGTAGTCTGAGTTCTCGAAGAACCAAATGCCAAGATGGGATTAGATGTGCAGGAGAATTACTAGAAGAAATGTCAGTTGATCTACGTAGGAGGCCTCCAAGTAGAAATTCTAAAAGGGCCTGGGAAACGCCCGGGGCTGTGAAGGATATGCTTGCCAACAGTTCAGACTGCTCAGGAATGAAGCTTTGACTCACATCACCAGGTAAGCCTTTGAGAACTGCCAAGGCGAGGGGTAATTTACAGTGGGTAGTGGAAGAGGGGCAGTAAGAATTCCAATGGTGGCCCTTAGAGCAAATAAATACTGCAATGAGGACTATAGTTTACCCCCCTGGTATCCCTGTTTCAAGTTTCCACACAAGAAGAAAGGCCTGTGGGAATCTTGGAGAAGCCACTTCTCTCACTTCATGAAGAAGTAAATCGGTGTGTGTATCCAAATGTGGGGACTGACGGCGCTCCTCTCAAATCTACTGCAGGTGCCTCCTACCTCCTAGCCAGGCTGCTGAACTCCGAAATCCATTACCACGTTCGCACTGTAGCTCTCCTTTTCTGTTTTCTCTCTCCCATCCTTCTCCCCTCTTCTCTTTCACAGGGGACAGACCTACATCATAGTCCAGCATCTCTACCAGCTCCTTCTCTGATCTCTTCATAATGGACATGGCATTGTTCTCAGGTTTTTACTATTTCAATTAATGCTGTAGTAAACATATGTTGCACATCTCTTAACCAGCAAAGCTGCCTACGGCAAAGCAATCTAAAATAGGAAGCGCTTGGCATGAATACAGGGCCTGAAACAGACCCCATGTTGCCCTTGCTTTCGCCGTAAGGACATGGACCTCGACTTACGTTGTTGAAGAAACGTGAAGGGAATGGCCAGTGGGTGGGCCTAAGGATGTGAAACGTTGCCTATTCCTCAGAAAAGCATGTCCTCAGAACGCTTTTGTTAGACTGTTCCCAGAGCCTTGTGTAAAAAAATAAATAAACAAATAGCTGATGTTGAAGGAATGGGTATGTGGTCCTACTTTATGCCTGACTGGTTGGATTTTTTTTAAATGTCTACCAATTGAAAAAACGTGTTTGACTGTTTGTGAAATCTTTATATCTAGGCCCATCCTTAGTCTGGAAGGTTTTTCGGACTCACTCAGCA